GGATAACGCGCGAGCGGAACGTGACATAGACGTATTTAATTTTGCTCCCCACTGCTCAGATCAAAATTATGTTTGTATTGTCTAATAACTGCCGCGACCGATTGTGACGAAAGGCAAATTTAGTCGCAATCTGCAATTAAGGCATATGCCAGCTAAGATTAGCGCTTTAAAAAGGTAACTCGTTATTTTTTGATAATGATGACCCTGATTACGACGTTGCATGCTTGCCTTAACGCCAATAAAGCTTTCGCGAAGGAATGATTTTTTTCTTGTTTAGTGTGAGGAGTTCTATTTTTATATTTGTACTGAGTCTAGTCAGACACCTTGCACACCTGCCATCTGTATACCAACTGACACTATCAGTCGGGTGGCTGCTCATTGAACTTAAAATTTAATTCTGTCGTTTATTAGCAACTTTATACGTTGCTTGCACAGACGTCACACGAGTTGTCATTGCGGTGGCCTTTCTGTTTAAAACGGACCGATTGCATATACATCCCGCACCACCCGATTCGTTTTTTCTGCAAAAACTGCCAGCATGATAAAAAATAAAACCCTATACGCCATTAAAAAAGTTCAGCCTTTCCACTCTCGTGAAAAAGGAAGACCAGTGGAGCTTTACTCAATACACTGTGCGCTTCTTCTTCGTCGTCGTCTGTTTTTCGCACTGTTTCCTACGATGAATTTCCACCAACGCGCCCAACTATCCATTCTTCTATTAGAGCTGGAAAGGTTGCTGCCATCTACGAGCGACGGCGGAAACCATACTGGTTGTGTGCTTGCCGCCGTCATTTATAGATGGCGGTAGTTGTCCTGGTAGGTTTGTGTCGACATACACGGACACGATCCTGGGGAACCTAGCCATTAACAACTCGACTGTAAAAAAAAAAAAAAAAAAAAAAAAAAAAAAAGGTAACGTTTTTAGGCCGCCGCCATGTTGTTGATGATGACGCAACTGGTGCGACTTTGGCGACTCCAATTAGCTAGAGTTTTTCTGCCACTCTTTTGAGCTTTTGAAACCTTCTCAGCCCGATTCTCCACCTGTGTTTTACGGTTTTCAATTGCACATTTTTCGGTCTCTCATGGAAGTTTCCACTTTCGTTTCTTTACGCATGTTGCCTACCCTTTATGTGCTATCTTTGACTGTGAGAAAGTGCCTGCCATTTCAGCGTTCCTGCTCGGCATTAAAAAAAAAAGAAATGAAGGAAGTAAAGAACGTAGAACTGTCCTCAACGGCACTTCGCGAAAAATGACAACTGTACTCTTCTCAGATGATCCCCGGAGAGTGAGTCTTCACCAAGCATAGCTCTTCGGGTTGGGGCGAGGAACAGATCAGTCGCCTCGGTTCTTTGCCTTGGTGCTGGTGCTGTGAAAAAAGGGAGCTTTTTCTAAAACGTGCCCCAAAGGGAGGTACTCTTGGATTTAGTCCGATGGGCGAGAAGGGACTGCCGTCGAAAATGTCGATTGGATGTGTTGTCTTATTTTAGATGTTTTACAAACGAACCCTTTTCGGATAACAGTGCACAATGTGGTACGTACAATATGGTGTTCGAATGTTGATACTTGCTGAATTTCATATTTGTGTCCTGTCGAATACATCGGTTGTCACGTTTCTTGTGCACGGGGAATATGCATGCCTCAGATATATTCTGTTGTAAATTATTTTTGATAGCTAAGCGCTTTGTTGATTTACGCAGCTAAGGGGGCGGCAACGTCGAACTCAGCGTCAAATAAAACAAACATTCTAGTCGCGTTCGTTTTGTCGTGCACATACTCAGCAAAAAAAAAAAAGAAAAAAAAAAAAGAAAAGGTCACAGTAATTTTTTTTTTTTAATTTCATAAAAGTGTACAATTTTTTTCCCATGGTCTCGAGAAAGTATTTACATTGTGAAGCAAAGAAAAAGCAGAACAAAATAGAAAATTTAGCCAGCAGAAGTGACTGAAATTTACGCCTATGAACATCAACGGTCCACTCGGTAATTAGGGATATCTTGGACGCCGGTGAGACACCAGCATCAAACCCAGTTCGTGTGCTCGGAAAGGATATCTGGTCCTTGGGGTCGAGTGTTTCTTGGAAATGTGCATAGACAATTGCAAGCATGGCGACTCACTGGGGCCCCATGCGTGCAAGTATGTGCAACGTGCGCGCACTTGCACGCGCGACAGAGGCATGGCGACGGCTAGATGCCTTACTTGCAATCGGCGGCTATAGCTGTGTGCTCTACTGGTGAGCGCGTGCTGATGGCGAGCTTCCACAGTTCTTTCGCAACGTGCATTCCACACCGTCCAGATTGCCGCTCTTAGCAGTTTATTAATGTCAGCTCACTCTGAGCATGCGCTCTGAAGAGCGCAGTTATTGGAGGCGTGCGCGATTGAAAGCGTTGCTGTGTTGGCCTTTTATGATTGGCCGAATGATGACGATGATGTCAGCAAAGGATTTATCATCGACGGAAATAAGAGTGATGTAAGAGCTTCAATTTTGACGGTGTTGGCAGTATTGGTCTCAGAGCGCTATAAATACAAGCTTCCACTATGCTCATTACAGACACCATCGAACTTCTTGCTGACAATGTGATGACGTCAGGAGAGGGCACCATACTACAGTGTACTAGAATAGGAGGTATTCACTGGACGCCATATCTGAGGGCTATGTTTAGAGTGCATGCTCAAAACGAGCTCACATTAATATCCTGCTAAGACCGGCAACCTTGATGGTGCTAAATGCACGCTGCAAAAGGACTGCGGAAGCTCGTCGTGAGCACGCGCTCAGCAGCAGCAGCACACACGTATATGGCCGCCAGTGAATACTCCCTATACCTGGGTAGTGTTGGGACCGGAGCGGCTAGCCTGAGGCGCGTGGTATTGATCGCGACAGGTGTCAACACCGGCGTGTTACCCAGAAGGTGTGCGCGTGCGAGGCTGCAGGCGCGAAAAGATTAATTTTTGGTGCCGCTTTGGTAGAGTGCATAGAATTTCTGATACAGCTACGACCTGCCAGCAGTGGTAACCTGCCATCAATTACGCTGTGGCACAACCGTTGGCAACATGATGCTTCAATGTGTTGGACGGCGCAAGCTACAGTACTCTGCCTTATCATAAAAACAAGTGCAACTTTAAAGAAGGGGATTGCAAGTTGTTTCAGCGTAGAATTAGCTGCGACTTTCGGTTCGTCGGATGGTGAGTATTTTACATAAAATTCCCCTTTCCTTGTTTGCAAAAGGCGAAACATTAAAAATTTTGGCGGAAATAATTAAAACTCGGCGTCTTGAGGTATACTCGGCATACAATATCAAGTAAGTTGTCGAAACAAAAAAACACCACCCTTTCGATGCTGATCTTGTTTGACTTCGGCTGAAAAAAAAACAAAAAAACCTGTTTCTAACTGCCGCCTTGTGCGCCTCCGAGTGGCGGTCGTCGACGCCAAAAGAACGAGGAAAAAGAGCCCAAACCCCTTCAGTTATGCCACTAACCAAGTGCGCAGGACTTCCTTACTGTTCGACAATCTCCGTCTGCCAGAAACCAGGGCCGGCTTGCTAAAACAGCGTTACTGTTGAGACTGGGTGAAAGAAAGCATGCACTCCAAAGGCTGGGGCGCAAGAGCGTCTTGAGACGTGGTTTAAGTCCCGCTCAGCTCGTGCGCCGGCTTTGGCACTGGTGTCTTTCACCCAGTCTCAGCTGAGACGCTGTTTCTAATAAACCGGCCCTAATTTTCTTGATGAGCATTCGCTTTGCGCTGGACAACGCGCTTGTATTTGTCGCGGATAGGAAGGAAACCTGATAGGATTTTCGTAAGTTGGACACGGCCTTCGTCCTTCCTTAACCATGATTAATGGTGTTGTTACTTGAGAGTTTACTACCTACGAACAAAATAGTGCTAATGATCAAACGTTAATAGGAAGCTTTTATTCTCTCATTCGTTTACCTGGTTTCAAGTTCAGCCGACTAATCAGTCTAAAAAAATAGTCGCGATGAAAACATCCATTGAATACTTGGGAGTTTAATCGATCAATCTCCCGGTCCTACTAAAACGCAATGGGCGTCACCAATTAGCTCGGGTGTGCTAATCACTCCACCACTTTACCTTGTTTTTTTTTTTTGGGGGGGGGGGGGGGGGATTTCATATAGCTCTTATTAATGCACAAAAACGAAATGTACCAATCAGGTGTTCTGTTAGCACACGGCGCCGTGTGGAACGCGGTACGACGCTTGCAGGATATAGTACGTGCTTGTTGTAATCCAGAAGTTCTCTCACTGCTTTTGTCGTCACCTGTACATATACTCTTTTTATTTATGAGCTTTAGAGAACCGGTGACATAATCTGCGAGAATCAAGAGCCATGTTTTAATATCACGGGCACTTTCATCATCATACGTCGTCTCCAAAGAAGAAATCAACTCAAACTGATCCTTGTCACCGAATTTAATTGAGGATGGTTTCTGAACTTAAGATGAAAGTTTTGCCAATATGAGCACCGATAAGACAGATAAGTGCAGTGAAATTTGGTTTATTTTATGTGACTCAGTTTATGACCTTCTAGGAAAGGGCTAACAAAGTTATCTTGACACATCTTTATTTCTAACAAAGTCTGAACCGTGGTGCTCAAAATATTAGTTTTACACACACTCCGAATATTTAACTAATACCGTTACTTATCAATCGCTCCAAGAACTAAAAATTGAGGTTCTCATAATACTTTGCGATAGCTCTATATAAATTAGAGTTAAAATTGTACACGAAGGAAAAAAATGGTGCACTCGCGTGTAACGTTTCTAGAAGACGGTGCGTGGCGTGCCTGAAGCCTAGTGTTTTGGAGGAAAATAAGACATTTAAGCCAGACGAAACATTGATGTTTACGCCTTGTTTATAACAAGGTGTTTGCGTTCACTAAGAAGTTATACAATCGCGGTATAAAATGTTGATTTAATCCATAGCTGTCTCCTTACGGAGTCATGTTCCAGTGACCTAGATTTGGGTAAGCAATACCCGTTGTATCTCTGCAGGGATGCGACTGACTCCGAAGGAACTTGAAGGGTTGCTCGTGCACCAGGCAGGATTCCTGGCACAGAAGAGGCTGGCCCGTGGACTGCTCTTGAACCACCCGGAAGCTGTGGCTCTCATAGCATGTCAAGTGAGCTTCACAGAACCCAAACAACGCGGCTAACATTTATTATAACTTCATTTTCGCATCTTCTAACGCGATAGCGTTTAGGGGTTCGTGTCGCATAAAATCAGCCATCGGCGTCGGTGGGACCTTAACATTTAAAGGGTCACTGACACATCAAAATCATATTTTACTTTATTATCCGAAACGATTGAAAATGATGCCGGGACATTACCATCAAAATTCGAAACTTGAAAATTCAGTATTTGTGAATTAAAAAAAAAAAAAAAATCAAAATGCCGAATTTCAATTTTCCGCGCGATCCGCGCCAGTGCAGAGGGTCAAGTTTTGCGGTCTCCTGCGACTCGACTTTCTTTCGGACCTCCGCTTCACGCTACAAAGCAAAGCGTCGTTGCCACCGCGACCCGAAGCGAGGAGGAGGTGAGCAGGCATGATTGAAGGGTGCCGGCGCGGGAAAAAAACGGTGTCTTCCCCGACTCGCCGACATCTGCTCGAGTGCCGCCAAGTTTTGCGAGGGAGAACACACATCTAACAAGCGACATCTCACCGAACTCTGATTTTTAGTATTCAAAAAAGAGGGGCCGTAGTGCGTTCGCAATTGCGTTAATTAAACATGTTTTACGATTGCCGTTATTAAATTTTATAGAAATGTCGCCTACAAAGCTTCTAAATTTCCTGATTTTTGACGTCACTGATCAAAAGAAGCAAGGAGGTGAGCGGCGGGAGATATAAACGCCGAAAATAAAAAGGCGCGCGCGCGCGCGGGAAATTATCTTTTCGCGATGCGGTTTTTTTGCGTGTCTATGACTACAACTTGTAACGTTTTACACGTTGCAAGTAAAAAAAAAAAACGACCTTTGGGGTGTTAGTGCCCCTGTAATAGCGCAACGTGCGCAGCCACGTGTGACGTAACACGTGGCTGTGGCACCATGACCCTATCGACCCGCTTAATCTGGAGGAAAAATTTTCAGTAAATTGAAGGGGGAAATTTCTACCGACAAGTTCAGCAGAAATGTTTCCCACCAAATTTAGCGGAAAATTTCCCGCAAAATTTAGCGGGCTGAGGGGGCCATGACGCCACAGCCACGTGTGACGTCACGCGTCATGTGACACACGTCACTCGAGACGCTACCGACTAGGCCGCGCACACACGCTTGCACGGCTTGGGAACGAACGCGGATTTGTATGAAAAGGCTTGGCGAACGGCGCCCGCTAACGCTTCGGACACCGTTCGCTTAAGCTTCACCTCTTAAAGGCGAAGCTTAAGCGTCTTCCGAGTTTTTGGCCATTTCGTGTGTGAAGTGATATTTTATTTAATTTTTTTCTTAAACATACCCCTTTAAAGGGCCTTCCAAACCGGACATTGAGAAACAGAGTGCCGCGACACAGCACATGCATATGCAGTGAAAGTTGCTGTGCTCCCATCCCCTTTCAGTTTGGACATCAACCAAGCATACAACGCTGCTTTCTTTCTTTCCCCTTGCTGTCGTCTCTTTCTCTTTCTTCTTTTCGGGAGGTGGGGTGCGGATAACAACAGCGGAGGCCCTGACGACAGTCAGAGATTGGCTGTCCGCACCCGCGTCTTGAGAACGCCCTAAGCCTCTGTTCAAGGCCTCAAGCGGAGGGAAGCTTTCCTCCCGGCAAGAAAAAGGAAAGGAAGCGGACCGTAGCGGCGGCATATGCCCTGCATTTAGAAAACACTTCCTTTGCTGTGAGCAAACACGCCATCTGCCGCTTCGTGTTTGGACACCCCTTAAAAAAATACTTCAACGAAATTTAAAATATACCCGTCGTGTTCAGAAATAGGTTGATTATGATCCACAATATCTATAAATGATAATCGCACGTTTGTATTTTGAGCCTGATGGCTGTATTCTTCGTTATAAACGGCCCACTTTGGTAAGCGCTCCGTGAGCAGCCGGCGGAGAGCACGTGACATCCGCCACAATCGTGACGTAGTTCGTCTCCGTACGAGCAAAGCTGCGGTGAGGCTGACGTCGAGAGAATGTCCTAGCCATTCCAGCCCCCGAAGCTTCTGCTTTGCTACAAATTTTGAGTGACGGGTTAATCTTCTATAATTTTGTACAGGGACAATAGCGACTTCTGGGACACACAAAAGATGTTCTTGGGGAGAGTGGGGTTCCTCCTTCTCCTCTTCTCTCGTGGTGGCCGGAGGCGAGACAATTATCGTCACTACTTGTGAAGGTTCATAGACGGGCATTACAAACGAGGCGTTAGCGACAACCACCAGGTGCTCTTTGCTAATCGTTTAATTCGTTTTAATATTTCTTTTCGTGTGTTTTTCAAGAAGAGATTGGTGCGTCTGATGCGATAATTCTCCAGTGAAAGGGTAGACCAAGAAATAAGCGACAAGATTTCGTTGTGGTATACCTTTAAGAGGACCAGAAATTGTTTAGCAAGCGCCCGTGGTTTTGTTCTTAGGCCCATCATTAAAACAAGGTTGAATATCGTAAAAAAAAAGGGTTTCCTTTTGAACGACTTGGGCCTATACACCTTTCCAAAAAACGCTCCTAGGCCGCCGCCATGTTGCTGATGCTGATGCGGCTGTTGCGACTCTCGCGCCCTCTATCAGGTAGAAATTTTCTGCCACTCTCCTGGACAGTGAAGACCCGCTCAGCGCGGTTCTCTACCTATGTTTTTGCGGTTTTGCATTCGACGTTTTCTCGCACCTCTTGAAAGTTTCCACTTAATTTTTTTTATGCTTGCTGCCTACCCTTTCTGTGTTATCTTCCATTGTGAGAAATAAGGCTGTCAGTGCCTGCCATTCAAGCTTTTCTGCTCGACATTCACGGGAAACGAAGGAGGTGAAGGACGTCGAACGACCCTCGTCGCGATTTTGCGAACATTGTTCTCCCGCCTCCCAGAGATAACCAGCGTAGTATCCTCAGGCATCTCCGAAAATAGTTGTCGGGGTTGGGGTGGAAAACGGGTCAGTCGCGTTCGTGCTTTCGGCTTGGTGCTGTTGTAAAAAAAAGGAAGCTCTCCCCAAAACGTGCCCCGAAACGAAGTCATCCTCGATTCCGTCCGATCGTCAAGACGTGACTGTCGTACTGTGTTATTTGAGATCTTTCTCAAATTGATTATTTTCAGATAACGCTGCATCGTGTGGTACGTACGATATATTGTTCGAATGTTAACACTTTCTAAATTTTATGTCCGTGTCCTGCCCATCACTAAACACGTTATTTGTGAGCGCAAAAAATGCATGCCTTTCGGCTTTCTTCTGTTGTAATTTACTTTTGACAGCTAAGCACTTTGTCGTTTGACATGCGGCGAATCGCGCGGCGCCGTCAAAACTTATCGTTAAAAAAAACACACAAAAAAAAAAACTAGAACTATACATTCCAGTCGCATTCGTTCTGTCGCGCGCGTACCCAACAAAAATAGATTATAGTTTTTTTATTGCTTTTTCGTTTCAAATGTGGTACAATGTCTTTTCAGCGACCTCGGGAAAATACATGCACCACGAGACACAAAATACAGCGGGAAAAGACGATAATTTAACCGCCAGCAGTGTTTGAAATTGCGCCTACGCAGGTTGCTCCTATCGAAATCACAGTCCACTCAGTTAGGGTTAGCAGGGACGGCGGTGAGAGTCTAGCCTCAAATTCAGTGACTGGGCTTGAAAACGGTTTGCTGCCCCTGGGGTCGAGTGTTTCTTGAAAAGGTGTATTCACAGCAGTCTTGGGTAGTAACGCGTTACTAGTTACTGTTACTGTAATTTTGTTACTGTTTTTTGTAACTTGTAGCTGTAAAGAGTTACTTTTTAAAAATGTAACTTGTAACTGTAGTTCTATTACTTTTTCTAAGGTAACGATGAAAGTAACGACGTTACTTTTGTCGCTATTTTCCAGTTTCTTATGAATAATTTATAATTGAATGAGTACAATCTACCTATTCCTTCCACTTTCGAAATTGTCCGTTCCGATATTTCGAGTGTCAAGCTGGCCTGGCACAAACTTGTGAATACGCGTTTTTTCTCGCGAGTCACGTCCTGAATATAGCCACGTATAGATTTGATGAAAAAAAAAATGTAGTTATCTTTACGCACGCGCTTTTACTTTGAGACTGAGCACTTACATTTTAGTATCTGAAGCATCATGTTTGTTACGGTGTTCTTTTTTCTTGCACAAACGCTTTTTAATCGGGTGAATCAACCATGAATCAACTATACACGTGGAGGGCACTCGCATGTTTGGTATTTTGATTAGCGCCACTACTCCGCAATGTGCATGTTTCGTATTTTGATTTTGCGCCACTAAACCGGCGTGGTGTAAACAGTTGAGGCAAAATTTACTGCTGTTTGCGCGGGATTTGCTTCTGGCTTGCCGGGTACGAACTGAAATATGTCCAGAGGCTCTATGAACGCAGCGCAACCGTCAACGAGCCAGCAATGTTCTAGTGCTACCAAGGATAGGGCATTTATATTGGGTTCGCGTTTGCCTCCATGCAATTCCTTCCAGGGCGCCAGTTGGGCGCCTGTTCAGCAAGGGCAGACATGTATTCGCCATTAAACGAAGGAAGCTTTCACACACCAATTTCGAGAAGCAACTGCCACTAAATCACAATATGAAGTAAAAAGCGCACTTTTTAATTTTATGCAAAGAAACTTAGTGAGGGGCGTTTTCTAGTTTTTCCTAATTTTTTGTGTTATAGAAAAGTAACTGAAAAGTAACGTCGTTATTTTTTGAAAGTAACTGTAACTGTAACGAGTTACTCTTTTGTTGCAGTAACTGTAACGGTAGATTCGCTACTTTTTTTTGAAAGTAACTGTAACTGTAACGAATTACGTTTTTAAAGTAACTTACCCAAGACTGATTCACAGTGATGTTTCTATATTGGTCTCTGTGCTTGGACAGGTGGATGATTATGGCCGAACGCTTCGCTTTGTCTCGATGTTTTGCCATACAATCAGTTCAATTTTGTTTTCTTATCTAAATTTAAAAAAAAAAAAAAAAAAAAAAAAACAACAACAACTTTTCACCTGACCTTTTAGTAGTGCCAAAATATAGGAAATAGAAGGGGACCTACAAAACGTCCCGAGGCGCGCCTTAGCATATTGTGTATATCGTGGAATTTATATGATTAACTCGAATCAAAAATTCCCTGTCTGTTAGGTAGTTCATAATTCATTAGAGCACACACATACAGGCACAATGTAAAGGGAAAAAGCTTAGATACCAGCATTCTGTGGTAGACTAGCTCAAAAACCTTGCTTAAGGCGAAATAAGCAATTTTGATTTTACCTTGTTTATGCGAAATACGAGGACCAGATTAGTGGTCGTCGATGATGGGTCAGAAACAAAACCGTGTTGGTTACGAATAAGTTGTCTTTGAAATACAAATAACAAAAACCTTTGAAGCGAGCACTGGAGAGAGATGGGTCTATGCAGAACGCAAGTTCGTCTGCTTCTTTTGCAGGAGTTGTGGTGATGTCAGAGTGCCGAGCTCTGATCGGCTCTCATTGGAGGATAGTGGGTAGACCATGTGGATCGCTCTACTAAACTGCTGCCCAATCGGTCCCTGACTGGTCCGCCCTCCCAAGAAGTCACACGTCCGAGGATATGTTCAAAACGTCTTACTGCTCTCGGGTGCCTTAGCTGTGGGCCTTGCCGTCGCCAGTCGTCGTCCGGGTGTCAGCGCTGTCCTTGACCGTTCCTTGCCCCGTGCCTAGCTGGAACTCTCGTGGCGCTGTCATGAGCGCCGGGCCGCCGGCCACCGCTCCTGCCCCCTCGCGCGCCGTCGTCCTCCTCGGCTTCCCACAACCTCAAGGCAGGTCGCCTTGAGATATACCCACTATTCTGAAATTAAACCCAATCAGAACTTGGCGTCATTCTGACGTCACCACAACCCTTGTGCGAGAAGCAGACGACTTGCTCCCCTCATAATCTCATGCGCCCCCACTTTTTCTTTATTGATGAACTAAGGCAATGCTGATGGCTGATGATTTATGGTGATGGAAAACAGTCATGTCCAGTTGACAGCCTTCGAATAATTTTTTTATATACTTCAGAATAGCGTCCTCATCAACCGTGATCGAGTTCAGCATATTGCCAAGCCTCGCTCGGAGTGTAACATTGCAGGAGGCGTTTACGTGATCGTTGTACACCTGTCTGAAAGGATTGGCAGAAATATCCGACATATTATTTCCAGAACACTTATCTAGAGCAATAACCATTAGTCTAGCTGGTTTCGGAGAACGCAAATCTACGTACAGCCAAACTTTTCTAAGCTTACGAGTTAAATTTTCCTGAACCGTTTTCCGATGCACCTGGCGATTTCGATTTTATATTTGTTTGCATGTTTTGCAGCAGAATTTGAACTACATTTACCACATTTTGGAGGTAACCTTTTTCAACTTTCGACGCAGGAAAGATTTTCTTTTTAGTTGTGTTTTCAGCTCAGAAGAGAACGAGTAAGGGAATTTAGGTCTTCGCTTTGTCTTCAGCGGATCATCGTCTAAAACAACTTTTACTAGTTTTGATGAATTCGGCGACCTGATAATCTGCATCGTGGACACACGATTTTTAAGCTTCTAGATGGCTGCATGAATCTGACTTGTCTAAAGATGCTCCGTAAGCCAAGCCAATTTGACATGTCATTTTTCCTGTTTCGCCGAAGCCTCGTCTGCGTTAAATAGACTTTGGTCAAGTATACTGGGGAAAAATTCTGGTTGGCAATACAGAAACATTGAAGAGTGCATGTGCACGGCTCTGATAAGGAATAGTCGTGGTCTTAAAAACAAAATCTTGACGAGCTTTGTTCCAGTTCTTTCATATTTCGTTTCACCTTAAGTCCGGCGGCAGCCGACGCTACGAGCTGACAAGATCAATCTAACAGCGTCAAAAGCATAGGTTACTGGTTCTTTTCGAGACATAATTAGTTTAACGATGATAGAATACGGATATCAATATGAGAAACGCCATGATGATTCGCTGTTTGATGGGTTCCTTCACCTCGTAGCGTCGGCATCGTCCGAATGGTTTGAAAACGCCACTTTCTGCTGTCGTCTGCTGCTGTTTATATTATTTGGCGTTGCTCATATTAAACACTTCCCTTCTTGACTTCCGTCATGCTTTCTTTGCACTCTATGTTATATACAAATATAATTAATATTTCTTTAACAATGTCGGCTGGCAATGGTGAATTATGTATAGACGCTTTCAGGCAGCTGTGAATGGGCGCCGCCATAACTGACCTTCAGTTTTGGCTTCCTCTTATTACGTTCGCTACACTTCATCATTGCCACACTAGGACAGGTTAGTGCCACCTTGGGTGCTACCGCGTCCTTCTCCCTAGCATAGGGCTTTGTGGAGGCTCGTCAACGCCCGCTTCAGTGGCTCGGCATGTCGGTAACCACTCAGCTCTTACTTACTGTCCATGATTTTGCTTCCGCGCTCAATAAAACAAACATGTGGATGTTATATTTTTAGATCTGGCTAAGGCTTTTGACGTTGTGTCACATACTAAGTCATTACAAAAGCTTCATATTATATTAAAAATGACCAAATCCTAAATAGGCTGCACGCATTTCTAACAAATGGGCTGCAATTTGTTTCTTTTGGTGGTTCTGCTTCGAATAGATGCAGTGTTACATCCGATGTACTGCAAGGCTCTGGTCTCTCATCCCTATTATTTTTACTGTTTATTAACGACTCATGTTCAAATATTTATGTAAATATCAAATTGTTTGCTGATGATTGTATTCTATATAGCATCATTGATTCCCCTGATGACCAGCTCAACCTAAACATGTGTCTTTCTGAAGTTGCCTCCTGGTGCAGGACTTGGCAAATGAATTTGAACATTTTCAAGTGTGTAACTATGTCCATAACACTAAAGAAATACCATTACCTGTTAGCTACAGTGTAGACGGACATACATTTAACATCGTCTCAGAGTACAAGTATCTTGGAATTACTATTTCGAATAACTTGTTCTGAAACTCCCACATTGCTTCTGTTACCTATAAAGCTACAAAATAACTCCGGCAACTAAAACAATCCCTTAATTTCGCAACTCCTGAAGTTAACTTACTGGTCTATAAGACGTTAATTAGGCCAACACTGGAATACGCACGCGTCGTCTGGGACCCTTACACAGTCGTCAATGTAGAAAAAAATAGAAATGATTCAGAGAAAGCCCTGAGATTTATTTTTAATAAATATGGACGGTACGTTAATGTCATTAATGATCATTAATGAAACAAACAGACCTGACTCCTCTTTCCCACCGCGCTATAACTGACAGGCTGAAAACTCTATTTCAGATCATCACGGATGGCCTTCACATCAACACAGACATGCTTAGCGTTTCCACCAAAACTAACGCCAGGGCTTCACATCCAAGATACATAAACTATTTCCAGGTCCACATAAATTGCTTTAAAAAATAGTTTTTCCACTAACTATGTTTGATTGGAGTAGCCTTCACCCCAGCCTCACTAATTAAGATCCACCTGAAAACTTCCTGCACCGGCTGGCCGCCTTATAGCAAGCGACTTGCTCATTATGTCGAAATGTATTCATTTATACATACATTTTTGTAATCCCCTCCTACGATGCCCCCATTTGTGGTGTAGTAGAATTGTGAAAAAAAAAGAAGAAAAAAGACGAGAGAAGGTTGGCAATGGCGGCTCAATCTGGCATGTGTTTAAAGCGTCTATATATTCTTATTTTGTGTGCGGGTTGTTTTACTTTCCAGGTCCAGGAACTTGCCAGAGATGGTCTTGGTTTGTGCGAGGTCATGGACAAAGGAGGACAAATGATCGGTGAGACATTATATAATAACAGTCTTAGAGATCAGATTGTACGAACGTCTGACGTCACAAACAGTTAACACGGTTTGGAAGTGATGCTATATAATGACTTGTGCTCACATCGGTTTTAAAATGATAAACGAGAGCCGACACCTGCAATGCAAAACGCTACAAGTGACGTGTCACTTGCATCCAGTTTCATTAGTAACAAAGTAACCACCCTGCTACTTTTCAGAAAAAAAGTAAGAGTAACCTATTTCGTTACTTTGTCATGAAGTAACGAGTGACGGCATTTGGTTACTTGTGGATAGGAATGTGTACAACACAAGTTACAAAACCTAATTCTTGCAGCAGCTCGCGCCTGCTATCTTTATCACAAAAAGCAAGAGATAGTAGGAAAGATAGGTACCAAGTATGGGAGTACAGTCACAGTTATCGCTCAAGATATCCATTCAGCTCTATTGCAGTGAACGGTCCTCTCCGTCGGGATTAGCATTCAACGATCAAGGACAACATGGTTCGCTCTGTTAACCAATTGGCATATTAACACGAAAGCATTAACTGTTCTCTTCTATCCTTTGTGCCTCAAGGGTCGAATCTCGAACTACCCAAACCGTTCCCAATGTTCAGTATACCGTGCGCGAGTCATTGGCCAAGTTTATCCCCGGGGTCCGGTAGCGCGTTGAGTTGCCCTTTCCGAATCACTGCTATCCGAATGAATCTTGTACACTTAGGGTTCAATGCGATCTCACCAAGAAAGAATCCTCTTCGCTTTCTTACAATAGGAGTCCCCACGTCTTAGTTGCCTCAGATGTTTGAGTTTTTGAGTTGAATCAATAGATACTTGTACAGAATTTTCTCATGGGACACGACTAAAGGCACTTTTAGTGCCTGACGGGGCCATGACACACTCTTACTTGCCGGTAATTCTCAGTATATGAAAGAACGTTCGATTTATGAATCTTGCTATTTTATAGCGCAAAGAGATAATTATGTGAGCAACTATCTAGGACATCAAAGTGAGGAAATACTTTTGTTTTGAATCTATGTTTTTTATGCACATGTGTAACAGATGCGTAAAACCGCAGAAAGAAGACTCATAACCTAGGAATTCTTCAAATTGACATAACGCTGTTGTGCCAACTGAACGCGTCTCTGAATTTGTTGAAAAGAGATGGAATATTTACGACGCAAAACATTAGAAAGTAGCTAATGCTCCAGAAAATAATACATTCCAAGTAAAGCCGAGGTAACGCATTACATTCGAGCTGAAGAAAAGCATTTCTTTTGAATCTTGGTGACAAGTAACGTGCTTAAGTAATTTTGATTCATGAGCGAGTGAAGGCATTTAGTTACCTTTCCCAGTAACGTCTACATGTCTGAACGAGAGCGTGATATTTGCAGTACTATCTCAACCACAGTTAGCGGGACCACGGGAGCGCGTGGCATCGGGTGCTATCAGGGCGTTCTAACGGCCCGGAGCGCTACTCTAGAGCATTCGCGTCTCTGCTGTTGCAATTGCGCGTTTGGCCGTTAGAGTGCTCTGATAGTACCTCACGCCATGCGCTGTCGTGTTTCCGTTAACTGTGACTTAGATAGCACCTACGTTTTTGAACGTATCTTAAGAAAACGGTGCCCCATTTGAGTTCGAGTGACACGAGGCACACCTTAAGAAACAAATGAGGCAAAAGGTAGCAACGGGGCGTTTTCCTCTCTTCTACCAACGCGCCCCAAGCGGACACGAGAAGAAGGGAGGAACGATACTTCTTTCTCCTTCCGCAGGCAAGCGGGAGAACGGTTCCGCCCTCCTGCTGCACCTTCTTTTGGTTTCGTTTTTCAAGCACGTCGCGCGCGTTGTTTAAAAAATATTCTTAAGTCGATTCAACTTCACAGACAGCGAAGGCCACACGTGATTCCGTCTTCCAGTTGAAACATGCAGACATTAAGGTTGCATTGACGTTTTTGACGCTAGCTCTTTTCAGTTGAATTATGGCAGCGTTCCGCTGTGGCGTCCTCGTTAAGGCTCACTGAGTTCGATTCACTTAGACCCGCCATTTCGCTGCGCTGACGAGAGAGGAACTTTGCTGTCCCGTTTGCAGGACCGAACGTTGCTCCGTTTCTAAAGGAACATAGGGGACAAGATCGTTCCTCCCTTTAATGAGAGGTACATATAACCTTTTTTTTTTAGAGTGCAGTGTTGGCAGAGCACGCAGATCCCACGCGGACGCTCAAGGCTCGAACTTTGACAGCGGACCTTTTAATTTTTCCGTTTGGTTCTCTTTTGGGACGGTCCAGCTCTGTTTCAACACTTACCTTATCCTCTCGCCTAGAATATTCCCGGCAAAAGGATGTGTATAAAGGCAGCCGTAGCGAACTGCATCAAGCCATACTTTATTTCACCATAATTCATGACACCGGGAAAGAAGAGACAGGTGTATAAACAACTTTTCCTAGCCACGGAGCAAGTGTGTCGAAGGTTCGATTTCATTTTTGACAAACACTGTGATATGGCGCAGTATGACAAGGGCTAGAAAATCCGCCCTTTTTGATCGATTGATTGATTTATAATGGTTTCTTAGTGCAAAAGTTTATATGGCCATAATGCGCCAATTACCGGGACTATTGCATAAGAAGGTTACAACAAAGAAAGGGCTACAGTAGGTAGTTTTGTGGTCAACATAGTGAACATGAGTTCAGGGTATAAATTAAAATTATAGTTAGTATGGAAGGCCGATATCTTTAAACAACTAGAAACGCAATCGTTTGCAATCGGCGGTTCATCACTAAGTAAAGAGGCTAAATGTATATCAGTATGTTCTGCATCAATTTGCGATAATTATTTGTACCGTTCCTAGCATACGCATGTCATTCAATTAGAATTTGCAAGATGCTCAATGGTAGATTGCAGTGCTCACATTTTGAAGCATCCTCCCCGTGCAAGGGGGACCCATGCGGGAGAAGCATATGACCGATTCGCAACTGACTCGGTACCACTTCATAAAACCGTTCCCAGTGCCCTTCATTCTCCCCTTCCCTTAACACAGGTTTCCCCGCATTTAATTTGTTGTGCGCTTCATTGTTACACTTGTGCTGCTACTTAGCTTAGATGCAACGTCCCAAGGAAGTGTAGGAGTAATTATAAGGTAGTTTATGCACAAGGTGTCACAAAAGAAAATTTACGCGGTCTTTTTTACCGCAAAAATAAACTAGGCATCGTTGAACGCTCATTCTCCTTCCAAAGGTAGCGCAAGAGGTTACAACCAGATGCCAAAGTTTCAGCCCGATCCGATAACTTAATCAAACGTTATAAGTGATTTTCTGAAAATTTCAATGGGAAAATAGCGGCCGACGGAGTTTTCGAATACATGGGGCTCCATGGCACCAGAAACCGTAAACGAACAAAAATGGGCTCCATTTTTCCATTGAAATTTTCAGAAAATCACTTATAACTTTTGATTAAGTTATCAGATCGGGCTGAAACTTTGGCATCCGGTTGTGACCTCTAGCACTACCTTTGGGCGGAGAATGAGCGTTCGGCGATGCCTACTTTATATTTCCGGTAAAAAAAAAAAAAAAAACCTGTAAATTTTCTTTTGGAACATCCTGCATACCTACTGCTTTCTCATTAGCAGAACTCGCCGCATGATCGCCCTCTTCAGTTCCTGGGATGCCGACAAGTCTTGGAACAAAACAGAAAGTTATTTGAACATTTTTTTTTCGGCAGATATGATCTTGCTCTGTAGTTTAAGAACAAGTGGGTTGATGTTGCGTTTCAGTGATTTGAAGGCTCACAGAGAGCTCAGAGAATGAGGGTAGATAAGTGAGTGGTAAAGCCTTTTTTATTTTAGTTATACCGTCAACAGCTAAGAACAGGCCATAGAGCTCGTCTGTTAAAATGGTAGGTGAAGGGTTGATTCTTTTGACTTGCTTTACAGATGGTACATCCTAATAAACATCTCCAAAGAACGGATGGTGTTTTAGTTCTATCTTCAAAAAAATTTGCATAGTCACCCTATTGAGTTTGAAGCTGCAAACATTTCTGTATCATGAGTTTCTCTCGGTATGTTTTTAGAACGCTTAGTCAGTGTCAAATCGCAGTGAGTTAGGTGAAAGTTCTAAGGAGCTATGGCAGAAAAGCATTGAACAACAGTGGGATTTGGATCTATCACCACTGATACTGCTGAGCTCCGATTCCTTCTTACAAAAGAAGGAACAACGGATTTTTTTTCAACAGTCTTTAGAACTTGATGTTTTGGAGATTATCACGGGTACGTTGCTGGAGAAATGAGCAAACTCTAACAGAGTACTTAAACCCAAGGCAAATATTTCATTTTCGAGGGGTGGTTCATTAGCTTCCTCGTGCAAACTAAGCACAGGAGAGGTGCGAAATGCACCTTTGTCCTATCGCAGTCTCTGATGGTGGGTGGAGGACAACATCTTCAGGACAGATGCCCGGGCAGTGCAGTACACAGGAACCATCTTTAATCGCGCACATGCCGCAAGGCGTGCAACCGCGCCTGCCTGAAGAAGTTGAAGACCTTCTTAGAGCCTCAACTCGCAGCGCCAGCTGCGGTCGAACTAAGGCGAAAAGAAGTATAGTCGTTTGCTATCGTTTGATCCTACCTACAGCCGCCAGATTTTATTGCCACTCAGTATTTAGATGGCTAAGATGTGTGAAACAAGTTGCCTCATACCTTACAATTTAACAGCCAGGTTGTGTTTGAGTGATCTTAAAATAAAATACGGGAATGATAAACGTGCATTATGTATAGAAAGGAAAGGCACATTCAAGATGTGCAGATAAATAAACCACACTGATCAAATAGGTGTAAAAACGTTTGAAAGCAATGGAAAAGTTCTATTTGGGTTGTCGGGAATCGAATTCAGGGTCTCCTTACCGCCGGTGAAGTATGCTAACCCCTTTCCCTCCCCCCATTCGTTCGGTATTTCCTATTTGTCTTATTAATGCACCAAAACGAAATGTATTGAAAAGAAGGTGTCATTCACGAAGA